AGAGGGATAAGAGGGATAACAGTTGGGCAGAATGAATACAAAACAAAGGCGTTCGCGGATGACCTGGTCATAACAATGGAGGACCCACTAAATTCAACAAAAGAGGTACTTGAAGAATTTGAACAGTTTGGAAAAGTAGCCGGTTTCAAACTAAATAAAAAGAAAACCAAAATTATTGCAAAAAACATGGAGCCAGACAAAATTGAAGAATTACAAAATGCAACAGGGATAGAGGTGACCGGGAAAGTTAAATATTTGGGAATATGGGTAACACCAAAAAATATAGATCTCTTTAAAAACAATTACGATACAGTATGGAAAGGGGTTAAGAAAGATATAGAATCATGGGGCAGGCTGAAAATTTCATTCTGGGGCAGAATAGCTATAATTAAGATGAGCGTTCTCCCAAAAATGCTATTCCTTTTCCAGAACATTCCTGTTATTAGGGGTACAAAGATATTTAAGGAATGGCAGAAAGTGATTTCGAAATTTGTCTGGCAAGGCAAGAAGCCAAGGATTCAATATAAGTTACTGACAGACGTGAGGGAAAGGGGGGGCTTCGCCCTACCTGATCTAAAATTATACTTCGAGGCAGCTTGCCTATGCTGGATTAGAACTTGGATCAAATTGGAAGATAGGGAGGTGTTAGATTTAGAGGGATTTAATATTAGGTTTGGGTGGCACGCCTATCTATGGTATGGGAAGAGGAAAGTACACAGGGGTTTTGGAAATCATATTTTCAGAGGTCCACTGATTGAGGTGTGGGAAAGGAACAGAGAGGTGTTGGAACCTAAAACACCCCATTGGCTATCGCCGCTAGAAGCGACGAGTGTCAGCAAAATAAACAGGGGAGATAACTGGCCCACATACGGGCAATTGTTAACGAAAGAAGAAGGGAAATGGAAATTAAAGCCGTATGATCAGATTAAGGAGAAAGTTCATGATTGGTTGAAATACTTTCAGCTAAACGGGATGCTTAGAAAAGATATCACAGACAGAGGATACGCCGACAAAGACTCTAGATTCCAGACCGAAATATTGAACAACAATTACAGAATTCTATCTAAAATGTATAACCTGTTGCTAGGCTGGAATCTAATAGATGAAGAAGTAAAGTCAGTAGCGATTCACTGGGCGAGAGACATTGGCCATAACATATATGCTGAAGAGTGGGAGAGACTCTGGAAAATACACCTCAAGTTTACAGCCTGTGTGACACTGAAGGAGAACTTAATGAAAATGTTTTATCGCTGGTATCTAACCCCTGTAAAATTAGCTAAAATGTATGGGATTTGTAACAAATGTTGGAAGTGCAGAGAAAGGGAAGGGTCCTTTTACCACATGTGGTGGGAGTGCCAAAAAGTCAAAGAGTTCTGGGAGGGGGTGTATAACGAATTGAAAAAAATCTTAAGATATACTTTCGTTAAAAAACCGGAGGCGTTCCTGTTGGGAATGATAGGGAGGGAGATAAGAAAGAAAGATCATAGGTTCTTTCAATATGCAACAGCGGCTGCAAGAATCTTGATAGCTCAAAATTGGAAATCCGAGAACTTGCCGACAATTGAAGAATGGAGAGCAAAACTGTTAGAATATGCGGAGATGGATAAGATGACAGGGAAAGTAAGATACTCTAAAGATCAGAGGTTCATTGAGGAGTGGGAAAATTTCACGAATTATCTGGAAAATTTGAGTGAAGGACAGATAACGCTAGTGGGTTTTAAAAGAGCTCTGTAAAAGGGAAAAAAAGGGTACTGTCAGAGAGAAAGAGAAGAATTAGGGCGGTTAATGACAATACAATCTAATGAAATGCGAAGTTTTACAAGAATATCACGGATGATTTATGGAAGGGTTGAAGGAAGCTGTATCAGATTATTTGTGAATATGAGAAGTAACCTTTATGTTCTGTATCTTTTTATTTGCAAATCAATAAAAATTACGTTAAAAAAAAAAAGAGAAGTGAGGCTACAGGGAACCAGGCGGAGGGCCTTCTCGGTAGTGGCACCCGCCCTGTGGAACGCCCTCCCCACCAGATGTCAAAGAGATAAATAACTATCTGACATTTAGAAGACATCTGAAAGAATTGAAAGTACATTGAAGGAAAGACGTGCATGCATGCACATTTGACCATTTCAAGTTTTTGGGTGCAGGAAGAATAGATGGATTCTAAATGGATTCTTTGTGTTGTCCCTTTCTAGATAAGGATGCACATTCAATTTTAATGTGACTGTGCACATAGGTGCATGAGCAGGCACATACGCAGAATTCTGTAAGCGCCTCTGTGCTGTTTATCTGTTGAGTGGGGACTGAAAATTCCACTGGTGCTTGAACTGCTGATATGTAGACAAAGCTGATCAAGGCGCACACACCACCAAAGGAAGAAGAAATTGACAAGAATCACCTGCCCCTTTTTTTCCAGCAAAAGTGTCTGATGAAAGGAATTCTACCTATAGGAAGTCTGGATCCAAAACTGTGGATTTTTAGAGATCATCCCAAGATGCAATGTGTCATAATGGCACATGAACCAACAACAATGTAAATAATTTGTGGCTCTCTGGATGTTGCTGAGCAACAGTTTCCACCATCCTAAACTACCGGCCATGCTTGCTGGGGTTAATGGGGGTTGTAATTCAACGTCATCTGGAAGGTCAACTGTTCCCCATGCCTGATATGCAGTTAGAGTAGAAAAATGGGAGAGATATGAAAATCTGTAGAAATTTGGGGATAAATTTGATCTGGTTGGCATTTAAAAGCAAGCCTACCTAGTTCGTGTTACTCGTTCTCATTTTCCAGAACTTCTAAATGGACCAATGATTAGACTCAGTACAAGTACAAGGACAGCGTTTTCTACATGGGAAATGTCATCATTTAAAAAGTTTGTCAAACATGGAGCAACTGGTATCTCTTATCACATTTTGATAGCTAACAAAGATATTTACATAGAATGGGAATTAATTGTAAAAGAGGTGACAGAAAACATTAGAAACAAATATAATGGGACAGGGAATGGAGATATATTTTCCACTAATGTGGCCCTATCTAATGGAGTAAATATAACTTTTTAAAAAGTCATATAGTAGGTATGTGACCTCACTCCGTTTGCCAAAAATGTATCACAGAATAATTGATGCAGGAAATGTGGAAAGAGTGTGGTGGATTCCATCTAAATATGGTAAACCAAAAATTGCGGGGGTGGAGGAAATACTGCATTCATACAAAAAATGGATTGGATATCACATACCAATGAACCTCTTACAAAATACTTTGAATTATCTCTAAAGAGAGAGAGAGAGATGTCCAACCAGACCATCATGATTTAGTAGGCATTATGTTAACTGCAGGGACATGGGTGGCGCTGTGGGTTAAACCACTGAGCCTAGGACTTGCCGATCAGAAGGTCGGTGGTTCGCATCCCCGTGATGGGGTGAGCTCAGTCCCTGCTCCTGCCAACCTAGCAGTTTGAAAGCACGTCAAAGTGCAAGTAGATAAATAGGTACCGCTCCGGCGGGAAGGTAAACGGTGTTTCCGTGCGCTGCTCTGGTTCACCAAAAGCGGCTTAGTCATGCTGGCCTCATGACCCGGAAGCTGTACGTCGGCTCCCTCAGCCAATAAAGTGAGATGAGCGTTGCAACCCCAGAGTCGGTCACGACTGGACCTAATGGTCAGGGGTCCCTTTACCCATTACCTTTTTATGTTATCTGCAGCTAAAATGTTGATAACAGTTAAAGTGTATGCCCATGTGGTTCAAACTGAACAAGAGTGCTTTAACAAAGTATGATAATTTGCCAAAATTTACTGAAATGTTCCATTTTCAAAAAGGAAGACAATGGATAAGGCTTCTAATGACTCCCTCTACTGTCCAAGGCAGCATGTCTCTGAATACCAGTTGCTGGGGATGACAAATGGGGAGTGTTTCTGTTTCACTCAGGTACTGATTTTGGTTTTCCCAATAGTATGTAGGCGGCTACTGTGAGAACATGATACTGGACCAGTTCAGCCTTTGGCCTGATCCAGCAGGGTTCTTCTTACATTAGTACAGCAGATGTACCAAGAGGAATGAGAATGAGGGCCAAAATAATGGCAGGATGGCTATAGTAAACATGAACACTCTGTTTTCATGTGCTGAAAAATATGTGCTAAGATTTGCAACACATTTAGCTGGGCACAATGAATTTTGGCATGACTTTCACTCATAGTAGTTATTTAAGAGACTAAATGTTCACCTCTTGTTTGCTTTGTCTCTAAACTAAGTCCCAACCACTGCAACCTTTTTTCATAGGAAAGTCACTCCACCCCCTTAATTGTTTTAGTCATCCACGTAGGGTGGATTCTAATCTCCATTCCCAATGGGATAGCTTTGGGTGGTGTTTTGAGGTAAGAAGCTCATGAAATTAGCACTCTATTGACACTAGATGGAAAGTGCGTTGAAAACCTGACATTCACTACCACAAGAGATAGTAATGGCCACCAACTTGGATGACTTTAAGAGAGGATTAGAAAAATTTATGACCTTTGCATAAATGAGCCAGAGGGATTACTCAATTCCAGCTGTGTATATGTGAAAAACGTTTTCCTGCTATGCCTTCTTCAAGTCAAAGACATTAGCTGGGCATGTTTAGCCTGGAGAAGAGGAGGTTAAGGGGTGATATGATAGCCATGTTCAAATATATAAAGGGATGTCACATAGAGGAGGGAGAAAGGTTGTTTTCTGCTGCTCCAGAGAAGCGGACACGGAGCAATGGATCCAAACTACAAGAAAGAAGATTCCACCTAAACATTAGGAAGAACTTCCTGACAGTAAGAGCTGTTCGACAGTGGAATTTGCTGCCAAGGAGTGTGGTGGAGTCTCCTTCTTTGGAGGTCTTTAAGCAGAGGCTTGACAACCATATGTCAGGAGTGCTCTGATGGTGTTTCCTGCTTGGCAGGGGGTTGGACTCGATGGCCCTTGTGGTCTCTTCCAACTCTATGATTCTATGATTCTATGATTCTATGATTCTATCCACTTACTGAGGAATCAGTCTGGACAGAATGTCTAGTTCTTACCTTTAAGTGCTAAACCCAGCTTTTTTGCTTCGTGACTGTGGAGCTGAGAGAGCAACAGCTTTCAAATTCTCCCTCTGAGAAGTATTCTGGTCTTCATTTGTCTCAAGCTCTGGGATTTTTGTGCATGCTAGAGGATGGATCTGGGTTAGATCTTACACCCACTGCAATGAAAGGTCAGCAATTCAAAAAATGTTCCTTTTCCCTGTTGCTGAAGCTTTGGCCTTTCTGCTCAGTCATCTTGCTGAAGCTGTTGTTCTACCAGAAGGCTGGTCCATTAGGGCAAATGAGGTATGACTCCACCAACCTCTGTCTGATTTTACCTAGCTCTCATCTTCCAGCTTACCTGCCTTCATACTTACATCCAGCCCAAGGGGTGGCACTGTGGGTAAAAGATGACATGACAGAAGTTTATAAAATTATGTATGGCAAGGAGAATGTGAAGAGAAAAGTGTATTTCTCCCTCTGTCATTAACATTAGAACTTGTGGACATTCACTGAAGTTGAATGTTGGAGAATTCAAGGCGGAAAACAGAAAGTATTTTTTTACACGGTACATAATTAAACTATGGAACTTGCTCCCCCAGGAGACAGTGAGCATCACCAACTTAAAGGTAAAGGGACCCCTGACCATTAGGTCCAGTCGCAGACAACTCTGGGGTTGTGGTGCTCATCTCGCTTTATTGGCCGAGGGAGCCGGCGTACAGCTTCCGGGTCATGTGGCCAGCATGACTAAGCCACTTCTGGTGAACCAGAGCAGCACACAGAAACACCGTTTACCTTCCCACTGGAGCGGTACCTATTTATCTACTTGCAATTTGACGTGCTTTCAAACTGCTAGGTTGGCAGAAGCAGGGACCGAGCAAAGGGAGCTCACCCCATCGCGGGGATTCGAACTGCCAACCTTCTGATTAGCAAGTCCTAGGCTCTGTGGTTTAACCCACAGCACCACCAGAGTCCCTATCACCAACTTGGTTGGCTTTAAAAGAGGATTAGGCAAATTCATGGATGAGAGGGCTATTAATGGCAACTAGCCACAGTGGCTCTGCTCTGCCTCCAATGCTTCTCAATGCCAGTGGCTAGAACCCTCATGAGGGGAGAGTGCCTTTGAGCTTGTGTTCTGCTTGAGGGTTTTCCACAGGCGTCTTGCTGGCAAGAACATGATGCTGGATTAGATAGGCCCTTGGCCTGATCCAGCAGTCTTGTCTTTTGTTATTAACACAAGGCTATGCATGAGTGACAGCGCCCCTTCAAGTGGCCTAGCACCATCAGCAGAGTGCCAGAGGCAAGCAAGTGCAGATGAGTTGGCTGAGGGTGGAAGAGAGCCTAGAACAGAGGCGAGGCTGCTTTCCTGGCCCTGGCCTGTAAGTTAGGTTAAAATGGGTGGGTGGATGTTTAATCATCACTTACTGTCAGCGTGCCAAGAAGGGCCTCCTCCTGACTGTCTGGTGATGTGGTGTGGTTAAGCATCCCTAAAACGTGTTCTTCAAGGGCACAAACTCATCCACTTTTTCATCCGACAGGGTTGGATTGATCCTGCAGGAAGATAAGTAGTGTTTGTTTGTTTTTTAACCCCTCTGCATTCACTATCCATGTATTAAATGACCCCCAACTTTAACTACAATTTTTTGGGGAGGGGGGATACCGTCTTATACCCAGAAAAATACAGTATTTTTTCACACAGCACACAGGTATGATATGGAATTTGCTCCCACTAAATGTGACGGCCACCAGCACCTTTCAAAAATGATAAAGGTCTCAATGGATGCTAAAAGGTAAAGGTACCCCTGCCCGTACGGGCCAGTCTTGACAGACTCTAGGGTTGTGCGCCCATCTCACTCAAGAGGCCGGGGGCCAGCGCTGTCCGGAGACACTTCCGGGTCACGTGGCCAGCGTGACGAAGCTGCTCTGGCGAGCCAGAGCCGCACACGGAAACGCCGTTTACCTTCCCGCTAGTAAGCAGTCCCTATTTATCTACTTACACCCGGGGGTGCTTTCGAACTGCTAGGTTGGCAGGCACTGGGACCGAGCAACGGGAGCGCACCCCGCCGCAGGGATTCGAACCACCGACCTTTCGATCGGCAAGCCCTAGGCACTGAGGCTTTTACCCACAGCGCCCCCCGCGCCCCCAATGGATGCTACTCCTAGCCATAATGGCTTTGTTCTCCCTCCACTGTGGAAGGCAGTATGCCTCTGAATACCAGTCACTGGCAATCACAAATGGGGAGATGTGCTGTTGTCCTCAGGTCCTGCAGGCAGGCTTCCCATAAGTATCTCTTGGCCACTGAGAAATCAGGGCGCTGCACTACATAGGTTCTTGGTCCGATGCAGCAGGGCTTTTCTTACATTCTTAAAGGTGAGAACAATTTGAAAGACCTTGGGCCTCTTTTATTAAGAGCCTCAAAAAGGTGTATGAGCTTCAGATAAGATAGGAAACGAGACAGAGACTGAGAAAGGCACCTGGAAACTGACACTCCAGCTAGTCTCAGCGGAAGCTCCTGCCGCTGCCCCACTCACTGCCTCCCTCACTCGCGTTTCTCCCTTCCCCTCGGGGACTTTCCTCCGACTTCCTCCTTCCTAAGTGCCATCCTCCCCAGCCCAGGCGTTAGGGAAAGCGAGCCGATTCCAGCGTAGGTGTGGCATCCTGGCTGAGATGGAAGGGTGTGTCTCCCCCCTAAACTCCACGTGCCCTCTAGTCGCGTCGCGGAGTGGGATGGCTCTCGCGCCCTCCCCCCCTCTCCTCCTATCTCCACCCAGGAATATACAGGGCTATATAATGGGTCCCCAATCAGGGCCCAGAAGACATTTGCTACCCCCCCTTCCCCATTGGCTCGGTGATATTCAGAGCCTGGGGAAGACTTGGCTATGGACGGGGCGCGAATGCAGCAATTGGCGGAAGAGCATTACGGGTACAGGTGGGAGCGGCTGGCGGGCGACCTGCGGAGGCTCCAGTGCCTGGCGCTTTTTTGCCTTCTGCTTCTTGTTCTCTTGGCTATGCCCGTGATTTACCTGCTGGGCAGCAGCCTCAGGTGCAAGCAAGACGAGGTAAGGAATAATACAAGGACCTGCGTTTTACTCTGTAGTGTCTGCACTGACCGGCAGCGGCTCCCCGGGGTTTCGAACCACGGGATGCCAGGTATTTATTTGAACGTGGGACATTCTGCATGCAAAGCAGATGCTCTTACGCTGAGCTCCCGCGCTTCCCCAAATCAAAGGGTAGGTTGTCTCTGTGGGCGGGATTTATCAGAGAAAGCTGCCGAGTCAGGCCATGGATCCGTCTAGCTCAGAACTTCCAGCAGCGCACCCTCCAGTGTTTTAAGGCAGGATCCTCGTCCCCTTCCCCCAGTCGTACTGGGAGATGCCCGGGACCTGGGACTTTGGGACGCGCAAAGCAGGTACTTTCTCACTGAACGCTCAACATGTAAATTTCATGCTGAACATTTTAACTTGTTTTTACTCGTATTTTGATCCGTCTGTAGGCTGACTTGCCATTATCGTTTTCTGTTAAGAGGTATTGGAATGATTAAATAGTCTATATACTCTGTTAAGTAAACAAACAAATAAACAATGCGGAAACCCACGGAGGGATCTTTGGCTAGGGAAGCTGTGAAGCGGGTGGGGCTCCACAGAACCGCGTCCCAAAGAAATGTTGTGGACCAGAGGAGGTGGGAGTTTGTTTCTCTCTTCACAGTTGTGGAATCCGGAAGTGTAGTTGGAACGTTACTCTTCCCTTCCTTCCTTCGTTCATTCATTCGTTTCTCCTCTGCTTCTTGTCATGGCGATGGCTGTTTGTGTGTTTTTAGGGGCATGCTTGTAGGATGAAGTTTAGATTGCAACGCGCTCCAGTAATTTGCTCATCTCCAGCATAAGGGAGCAGGTCGCTGTTGTTACCGCAAATTTAAGATGTGTGCGTGTGCTGACTACTATAGATGGGAGGGTGGGCTTTATCAGCCCATGGGTTGCATTCACTTTTTGTCAGTATTCTGGGGTGTACATGTGAGGGGGTGGGAGGCCAGAGGCGATGCAGGCGAAGCAATGAATGTCCGTTTTACCTTTAAATCGTAGACTAGTTTGTACACACACTTTCACACCCCTCTCTATCATCCAAGTAGAAGGCATCATCAGAGTTCAAGGATACAGTCAAGCCAGTTAAAGACACTCTCTTGGGGAGAGGGGGTGCACCTGGGTAGGCATAGTGGTGTGGGGAGGAGCCCTGAGGGCTGGGCAGAGAAGCTTTGAGGGCCACCTTTGGCCCCAAGGTTTGAAATTCCCCACTCCTGTTGTAGATCAAAGATGCCACTTTTGTTATTCACAACAGCTCAGCAAGGTGACTTAACTGAGACGGCTCAAGAAGTAACCTGCCAGACTAAATGACTGAGTCCCCCAGTTCAAGCTGAGTAATTCTTATCAGACTCACTCAGCTGAGTGTTAGAGGACAGGGGACATGGCAAGGTACCACTGGACCTGATTAGGGGAGTGGAATTCTGTCCCCAATGGAATCATTATATCAGGGCAGGAAGACTTTTTGAAGTGGACTTTTTCTGGAGGGCCCCGGACTGAAGGTGTGTGTGTGTCTGTGTGTTGTGTCCTCATCTCCCATGGAAGACTTGAGGCATAAAAGGTTGGACAATATAAGGTTGGACAATCCAGAAAATCAAAAACCTGCAACCTGATTTGGTGTTTTATCACCGCTGTTGGAGAAGGCCATCCTCTGAATATACTGTAGTTCCTGGGAATCACGTGAGGAGAGCTGCAATTGCACTTGGCTCCTGCTTAAAGCCTTCACAGAGGCAGGTTGGCCACTAGTGAGAACAGTCTGCTGGACTTTGGCTTCATTCACCAGAACTCTTTTGATGTCACTAAGATTTGTGACACAGACTTTTTGTGGTGCTTCTAGCAGTGAGGTTCCAGATGATGGTTGGGTGATGCTAGTGGTGATGCTATGGAATGTCCATAAACATTCAATTGCTCGGGTAATATAGCAGCCGAGAATAGGGTGTTCAAAACTCACCTTCCGCAAGAAGGCTTGCTTTGACAGTTTGGTCAGCTGTGAGGCAGGCAGGAGCTGTGTGGAGCAGACAAAAGGTTGGAAAAGGTGAGTGGGACATGGTCCCAGAAGAGATAGTAGGTAAGAGGCAAAGATCCCACATGCAGGATGGCTGGAGGAGAGGGGCAGATTCAGCAGTGGAGTGAAATATGAGAAGGGTGATATGATGGAACTAGAACACAATGAGTTAAAGAGCCCACTGAACTTCCATACCTTGAGAGGGATCCTGCAATTTAGAGAGAATCCTAACATGCACAGAGATCCAGAAATGAGAGCCAGGAGGTTACCTGAAACACTTACCATATTTTTCGCTCTATAAGACATACTTGTCCCCCTCCTAAAAAGTAAGGGGAAATGTGTGTGCATCTTATGGAGCGAATGCAGGCTGCGCAGCTATCCCAGAAGCCAGGAGAGCAAGAGGGATCGGTGCGCACCAATCCCTCTTGCTCTCCTGGCTTCTTGAGTGCAGCGGGAGCATTCCTGCCTCTTCACTCAGGAGGCTTTGCATTGAGGCTTCCCTTTTGCTGTGCTGGCTTCTGGCTTAGCCGTGCACAGCCTCTTCCGGGCAGGGGGAGCCTTCATCCCGCTGCCCTGAAGAGGCTTCGCATGGCTATCCCATAAGCCAGAACAGCAAGAGGCTATCCCAGAAGCCAGATCCCTCTTGCTGTTCTGGCTTCTGGGATTCAGAATATTCCCCCCCCCCCCTGTTTTCCTCCTCCAGAACATAGGTGCATCTTATGGTCTGGTGCGTCTTATAGAGCGAAAAACACAGTATATTTAATTTCCATAGTCCCCCACACCTTTTTTCCTGGTCTCTCCATGCTTTTGCATTTCTACGGAGTGGCCTGGTGCATTCATCACCTGTACCCAGGAGTGGGGAACTTTCGTTTCAGCCCGGGGGCTGCATTTCCTTCTAGGCAGGATTCTAGGGGCCACATGAGCAGGATTAGAGGCAAAAGCTGACAAAGCAACACATGTAAAATTTACCTTTGTACAGTTGGCTAGTTTCTACACCTTCTCCTCTCCATCCCCCCTCCAGGCAAGCAAGAGGCATCATGGGAGTCCCAGGAACACATTCCAGCCAGGCAAAAACACTCAGGGGGCAGTCCAAGGCAAGTCAGAGGTGTAGTCTGGGATGAGTTACAAGGGGCAGAAAGAGCAGCCAGAGAAGGGGCACATTTGCCCCAAGGTTCCATACCCTTGCACTTAGCCAAAATTAAACCACAATTCATTATGCAAACTGCAAATCACCACAAAGAAGATCATGCAAAGATGGCTTGTTTTGTGGGAGCATATGCCCTACTTAAAAGGGACGTGGGTGGCGCTGTGGGTTAAACCACAGAGCCTAGGACTTGCCGATCTGATGGTCGGTGGTTCGATTCCCCGTGACGGGGTGAGCTCCCGTTCTTCAGTCCCAGCTCCTGCCAAGCTGGCAGTTCGAAAGCATGTCAAAGTGCAAGTAGATAAATAGGTACTGCTCCGGTGGGAAGGTAAACAGCATTTCCGTGCACTGCTCTGGTTTGCCAGAAGCGGCTTAGTCATGCTGGCCACATGACCCGGAAGCTGTCTGTGGGCAAACGCCGACTCCCTCGGCCAATAAAGTGAGATGAGCGTTGCAACTCCAGAGTCGGCCATGACTGGAGCTTTACCTTTTATGGCCTTTACCTTTACCTTTTATGGCCTACTTAACTCCCCATGTGCTTCATATTACCTACCCAACATCCCAAAAGAATTCATAGAGCTGTATTGCTACCATTGCCTCAGGCAGATCTCCCTGCCCCTTCCTATTGGCTGGCTGCAAAGGTGTGGAAATTTTCTCAAGAGTTCTTTGCCCACTCTCCTCAAGAGCACTCAAAAGATTATAGCAGCCTAGGGTTTCTTTAACCCCTTCCTTCCACTGCTCTACATTATTCCCTTGTGCGCGCACTCCCCCCCCCCCCGCAGTGTTATACTGAAATGTGACTCCATTACTTTCCCATTTAGATACTATATCATCCTTCCCCAGATAAGGGAGCTGCATGAATATAACCCATTAGAGAGTATATAGTCTAATATTGTTTCAAATATTCTGCAAAAAATGTTGGAGAGCAGGGACTTTTTCTTGCTCTGTCCTCCTCTTAGGGCCAAGCCTCGCACAGGATTCTGCTGTTGCTCAAGCACCAGTCAGCGTTGAAGGTCAGTACCCACACCTTACATTTAAGGCACTCTTATCTCACTATAACATACCTGGAGAATCCTGGGAACTATGGTTTGTTGAGACTGGTGGGAACTGTAGATCTGTGAGGTCGGTACCCGTAACAAACAAGAGTTTCCATCATGTTTTTGCAGGAAGTCATGACTGATAAAGTGGAATAAGAGTTTGTTGTTTGGGGCAGATGTGACCTTAGACTCCGGGCTTCTCTACACTTCTTCTTCTCTCACTGCTCACTCCCCACACCACCACGGGAAAACCACTCTTTAGCACTCAGTTGGAGCAAACCTGGGAAAGGAGTGGAGCAGAGAGAAAACCACTTGGGCCTGTATCTAGAAAGCATGGGTCAAGTGGAAAACTGTTCACACCTGTGCTTTCTAGCCATGGGACTAGCAGAAGTGTGGACTTGTCTTGAGCCTTACATAGCAGCAAGTGTTTCTGTCTAACTTTACTGAAAGGGCTTCTTCAGTTAAAGGGGCCCAGCCTTCTCCAACTGTTTTTTCCCACTACAAATTAGCAGGGAAGGCTGGCTGGCTGCATGAGGGCTTCTGTGATACGAGAGTCCTCAGGGTCAGAGTATGGCAACATTACACCCTTTGGCTGGAGTGGTGCCAGCATCACGAGATCCTCTCATGGATGTGCTTCTGGGGCTGGCCCTCTCTGTAATTTCCCTTTCTGACTCAGACTCCTTGACATCCCATGAATGAGGGGAATCCAGTGCCAGGGTGATGAGACATTTTGTTTTCAGGCAGGATTCCATGCTGCTGAAAACTGTTGCATGAGGGAAGGGGGTGAAGGATGTGACTACATAGTGTGCACAGGTTTCAGGGAATGTCCAGGAGAGTGGGTGGATTGTGCTGCTGATGCTGCTAAGATCACCTTACTTCATATACCTCATCTCCTCTCCTGTCTCCCCCCAGTGTTGGTGCTTCCAATATGCCCCCCTCCCCCCCGCCACAAAAACCCTTTCCCCTTGCAATCCAGATTTGGGACTTTCCAACATGTATAAACTTAAGGCTGCCCAGCCCAGTCTGTGAAAGTCATTGAGCAAAAGACAACTTCTAACCACCACCACCCCATTGACTAGCATCTTTATAGCGTGGCGATGTGGGTGGGGTAAACAAACAAGCTACACCTAAGCCATAGTTAAGGAACTGTGTGAGTTTGCACCTATCACTGAACCATAGCAAAGTTCAGTAAGCCAACAACAAACCATCGTTCCTTTTTGCTAACAAACCATAGTTAAAGGGCTGGGCTGGGCGGTAATGGTTTAACAGCAAATAGTTAATTAGTAATAACTAATAAATAAGTTTATTAATTATTTAGTAATGAATAAATTGGGATTTATTAAGTAAACTTTATTTAATGGTTTAACATTGTGTGCAAAGCATGCAAATACTGTGGTCTGCTTTTCCAAATGACTTGGATGTGTGGGGTTTTATTATTACCCCCTACCCCCTCAAAAAATCTGGGCAATCACTTTCATAGACTGAGGAACATTTTAGGAGTGCTGCAGTGTTAGCACATATCTTCACAGCTGTGTGCACCCTCTGTATCTCTCTTGCCTGCCTGTACCGCTCAAGTTTGCACCTCCACCTGTTTATTCCCTGCCCCCAACAGAAAGTGAAATTGGGTAGCAGCAGTGCTTTTCTTCCAGAAAAAAAGGTGTCAGTACTCACCATGAAGTTGTTACAGTAAGTGCCACGCTTTTAACCAGTGCTTTTCTTCCAGGAAAAGAAAGGTGCTGGTACTGTGTACCCTTGAGTGTCCCTAGATAAAAAGCACTGGATAGCAGTGTATATACAAAAAAAGTGTCGCACTGGGATATGAACAGCCACATCAAGAATCAAACATGACAGATTACCATGATTGGTATTCAAGTAATGTGTACTCGTGCAGACCCACTGAAATTAATTCATCTAACTCAACTGTACTGTAAGATGTGCTTACTGAGTTTTCAAAAACAACAATTTGTTGTTGTTGTTTAGTTGTTTAGTCGTGTCCGACTCTTCGTGACCCCATGGACTAGAGCACGCCAGGCACTCCTGTCTTCCACTGCCTCCCGCAGTTTGGTCAAACTCATGCTGGTAGCTTCGAAGACACTATCCAAGCATCTCGTCCTCTGTCGTCCCCTTCTCCTTGTGCCCTCCATCTTTCCCAACATCAGGGTCTTTTCCAGGGAGTCTTCTCTTCTCATGAGGTGGCCAAAGTATTGGAGCCTCAGCTTCACGATCTGTCCTTCCAGTGAGCATTCAGGGCTGATTTCCTTAAGAATGGATAGGTTTGATCTTCTTGCAGTCCATGGGACTCTCAAGAGTCTCCTCCAGCACCATAATTCAAAAGCATCAGTTCTTCGGTGATCAGCCTTCTTTATGGTCCAGCTCTCACTTCTATACATCACTACTGGGAAAACCATAGCTTTTACTATACGGACCTTGTGATGTCTCTGCTTTTTAGGATGCTGTCCAGGTTTGTCATTGCTTTTCTCCCAAGAAGCAGGCATCTTTTAATTTTGTGACTTCTGTCACCATCTGCAGTGATCAAAACCAACAATATGCAAACAATAAAGAAACAACGAACAACGGCTGTGTGAAGCACATATTAGGGTTGCCACCTGTCCTGTATAATACAGGATTGTCCCGTATATCAATGTAAAATGCTGCATCCTGTATTGATACAGTTTTGACTTGTATTTCAAGTCTTCTCTCTCTCTCTCTCTCTCTCTCTCTCTCTCTCTCTCTCTCTCTGCCAAGTTTGGGATCCTCTCCGAATGCATTTGTTTGAAAGGGTGTGTGAAAGGTCATGTATTTAAGCTCCGGGTAGCCAAGCACAGACAGATTTTAAAATTCATGTGTATGTGTGTGTGCACGTGTTTGTGTGTGACAAATTCCAGAGATGCCATCCTGTTAGGCTGCAAGAGATTGTAATGGATTGCTTTGAAGTCACTTTAGAACCAGATGGGAAGGGGGAAATAACCCCGAACTGCCCTGCCCTGCTCTGTCCTGTATTTTTCCAGAACAGAGGTGGCAACCCCAAGCACACTATTGAAGTTCAAATAAAATAAACAGAAGGTTTAGTACACTTGCAGACACCACAATAAAATAGATTCTGTAAAGGGACATATTGGAAGCATGAGTCACATATCAACAAGGGAGCCTTCCACATAGAGGTGTATATTGTTGTGGGCCTATTCATTTCAAAACTTATAAATGGAGACTCTGCAATGTTAAAATAGTCTCACAACCAACCCGTGGTGGGATCAGACAAGACAATATCCAGCAGGAACCAAGATGACTGTGGGTGGTATTCAACTAATGTTTATTCAGAGTATTTATTCAGAGTAGACCCATTAAAATTAATGACCCTAACTCAGACATCTTCATTAATTACAATGTACGGTATCTACTTTGAGTAAAAGTTAGTTGAATTACACAGAACTTCTTCCAAGCTTGGGACATGCATTTGGGGGCCTACTTCTTAACCCCCCCCCCAAAAAAAATACATTTGTATGGTGGCACAGCTGCTGTTGTGACCCATTTTAGATCAGGCCACAACCTGATAGTGGATACTGGATGAGTAGTTGAAGACCAATGCAGCAGCAAATACTGCTAGATGTGGTGGGTTCAGGAATGATTTGGACTAAGTTCTGCTTAAAGTAAATCAGAATGAACAAACCTAAGCTAGCCATGCTCATCAATTTCAATGGGTCTATTCTGAGTAGGAATAACCTGGGATAAAATCCTTTGCTTGGTTATCTTATTGATAATAAATACCAGCACTCAGCATGTTTCTGTCACTTATCAATATGCAACTCGTGTAGGAGTTATTGCATAAACATCCGTTGGCAATTAGCATGAGCAGAGGTCACACAGCAAATGAGATTGCTCATTAACTTTCTACAGTGCTTTCATTCAAGGAAATGCAAGTATATTGGTGTCATGTGTGGAGCTCTGTAATCTGGGCCTCTGCCAAGGGTGGAAGCTTGTTGGCCCAGCTGAGCATAAACCAGGGAACTGAACTTACTATTTATGTCATGGATAAACTCCATCGGCGGATGTGGGTGGTTGCATTCTTTATTTAAGTGTTAGAGAAATTGTGTAAATAATGCAAGTGGAGCCTAGAGCAAAAAGTTCTGATAGCAGTTTACTGAACAGATGTAACAACAAACAGTACATACCTATTTGAGGAGAAAGGAACAGACAGGTTTTGTCTTTCAGTTAAGGCCTTGTACATAACAGGGGGGCATACAACTAAAAACACAGAGGAGAAAACTTCCTGAGAAATACACAACCAACCAGAGCACATGCTAGCTCATGTCACTCTACATTGTTGCTAAGCAACATCTCCACACACACACCCCTCTTGACTAGTGGACTTAACCTTTAAATGACATACAGTACTGCATTATCTCTGCTGGTGTACTTTCTGCATAAAGTACTCATAGGTGCAGAAGATCCACCCTGATCCTAAACATGGTCTTTTCTGCTGATCTTCCCTGGTGGTGAAGGGATTGCTGTCCCATAGGAGACATTTCAGGTATTCAGAATGTTTGTGTCCTTGTGATTTGGGGGCAGCGGGTCACCTAATACATGTATGTATGTATGAGCAAATAGTAAGATTCATTAACTTTCTAATTTGGATCTTGTTTCATACCAAAGCAGTGCTTTTTCTGAGTTTGTAAATCATTTTAATTTTGACTCTTGTCAATACAGATAAAGTCCATCATTATTATTGAAATTGTTCATGAAGGCTTTAAAAAAGTATTCAGACTGAAGTGGAAATGTGAAGAACAGAATTTAGGACTGGGCATACAAAAACTGAGTAAAACCAACTTTGATAGATTCATCTATCCTTGGTCAGAAATGCAGATGGAAAGGAAAGTGGAAATCAATCAAGTGGTCTTTTCACAGCCATGATTTTCAAACCAAAAACTTCACATGGTGTCAATAGCTCAGACAACACTTCCCCTGCCTTCTTCCCCGCCCACTCCAGTGCTGGCAGGGGGTAAGTCCCCTTTGTGGTACAGTCAGCCCATGCAGAGCACTGACTGGTTTTGTAAATAATGGTCAGTGAAACTGTGCCTCCCCTCCCTGATATCCTTGGACTTCAATTTTCATAATGGCCATTGCTCATGGATGAAAGGAGCTGGAGTCCACCACCATCTGGAGGGTGACCTTGAAATTATTTATTAAATTTATATACCATCCTTCATCAAAAGACCACAGCATGGTTTAGAAAGCAGAACACAAATGGCAGCACATAACATCTATACAATATAAAACTCAAGGCAGTAATATAAATACCATTACAATAATGAGAAATAGATAACAAAATACAGATTCTCCTAAAAGAGAATCAGCAGGAGGATATCTTAAATACAAAAAGTCCTGCTGCTTCTTGTACAGCCAAGTTCTATATGCAATACCTGGAGCAGATAGTCACATTGAATCTACAGTCCCTTTTTCAGGTAGCTGTTATATTATGAGAGATACTCAGGCACCATCTACATGTTACTAATCCAGATTGTCCTGTGAATAACGATGGCGATGACAGTATGATTGCATCTTACACACATTTTAACTTGTGTGATTTCAACCTTAAGTAGTTGCAGGCAAACCGGCCGGTTGAAACTGCACACGTTAAATGTGCTTAAAGAGCTTAAAAACTATTATTGTGTTGTGTCTGCTTGAGGTTTCCAAATGTGAAAACAAAATGAAGGCTCTCTGCATTGCTTGGTGGAGATCTGGTTACCCTGCTCAGTTTCCAGCTGTAAAGTGATGTCTAGACTCTAGGGGTTAAAAGTTAACTGCATGTACCAGGTGTCCTGTCCTCATGCCAAAGGGACTCTCCCGCATTCCATCTGTTTGGTAAGCACAGCTGTAGGAAGCAAATGACAAGTTACCGTAATTAGTAATGCCTGCATTGTTGTCGGGGGAGGTGGTTTGTTTGTGTGAGTGAGTGAGTGGGCAGGGATTGACCAGTACAGTGGTACCTTGGGTTAAGTACTTAATTCGTTCTGGAGGTCTGTTCTTAACCTGAAACTGTTCTTAATCTGAAGCACCACTTTAGCTAATGGGGCCTCCTGCTGCCGCCACGCCACCAGAGCACAATTTCTATTCTCATCCTGAAGCAAAGTTCTTAGCCTGAAGCACTATTTCTGGGTTAGCAGAGTCTGTAACCTGAAGCACTATTTCTGGGTTAGCAGAGTCTATAACCTGAAGCGTATGTAACCTGAAGCGTATGTAACCCGAGGTACCACTGTACAAATATTAACTGGACAGGAATGTGTGGAGTTTTATTTTTGCTTGGTGTGATTTCTCTAGCCTTTCAGCAGGCACAGAAAATAGTACATACAGTGAAGGTGTCTGCCTGATGTCCCTTAGGCAGGGAGTTCCAGAGTGTAAGTGTTGTCACACTAAAATACCAATTTCTTACAAATGCAGAACAGGTATTATGTGGCAGTGTAACAATGCCAGTTCTGCAGACAGACGTGGTAGAGTGAGTATATTTGGGGTAAGGTGATCTTGCAGGTAAACTGGGCTGAAATTGTTGAATAAATACAGGGGTGGGGAACATTTTCAGCCACTGGTGGACCACTTTGCCTGGTCCCCCACCACCACCACTTGGCAGTGCAAATTGAATTGAAACCATAGTGCTGATGACTTTCCTAGCCAATCCAAGTGGGGCTTGATTTTCATTACCCATAAACCTATTGATACACTGCAGAGCTCCTGAAACTCCAGAGTGAAGCTAATCAGCTGACTTCAGACCCTGCTTTTTGAAGGGGTTGTGTGCTCTCAAGTGGAACCAATCCCAGAGGGGCTTGGATTTGGTGCCCAGTTTAAAAGGTGCCAAACACAGCCTCAGCTTGCCAAGGAGCAATTAGGAATATGTTTCAAGGCTCCTGGTGGTTCTTTTGCACCCAAGTTGCTACCTGTCCTGTACCTTATTTATTTAGAGCAGGCACATCCAACTCCCAAGAGACTGCAATCTACTCCCAGTATAAAAAAAACTGGCAGTGATCTATCTATTGTCATTGGAGAGAGGAGGAGTGTGCGTGTGGGGGTGGGTATTGCCCAGAATTGTTGAGCTTTTAGAGGGTAGGATTGCCCAGAGTTCTTCAGCTTTTATTTGTTAACTTTCAGTAAACTTTTTTAATTCCACGATCGATAAGGGTCCCACGATCTACCAAGATCAGCCAGGGATCTACTGGTAGATTGCAATCTACTGGTAGGACATGCTTGATTTAGAGCATCTACACCCTAATATTTGGCCAAAAAGGCTGACAGTGTGGCTTAGGTAAAGGGACCCCTGACCATTAGGTCCAGTCGTGACCGACTCTGGGGTTGTGGCGCTCATCTCGCTTTATTGGCCGAGGGAGCCGGCGTACAGCTTCTGGGTCATGTGGCCAGCATGACTAAGCCGCTTCTGGCGAACCAGAGCAGCACACGGAAATTCCATTTACCTTCCCACCGGAGCGGTACCTATTTATCTACTTGTACTTTGATGTGCTTTCGAACTGCTAGGTTGGCAGGAGCAGGGATCGAGCAACGGGAGCTCACCCCGTCGCAGGGATTCGAACCACCGACCTTCTGATTGGCAAGTCCTAGGCTCAGTAGTTTAACCCACAGTGCCACCCACGTCCAATCAATTAAAACAAGACATTGCCCGCCCACAAGCTCTCTCTCTCTCTCTCTCTCTCTCTCTCTCTCTCTCTCTCTCTCTCATGGATTAGAGGTGCCATATTGCTGAATTAATCACTTGTGCATTTTCCTTTACAGATGTCACCTGAAACACTTCCTATATTCCAGAAACAAGAGGCCTCTCCTGCAAATTGTGAGTTTGCTTAAAAGAAGAAGAAGAATTGTAGTGTTTGCTTTGTGTTCCAAATAAGATTCTCCCTGCAGCAAATTACTCCAGGCAGTAGCAGGCATTGGCAGAATAGGAGCATAGGACGTTACCTTATACTGTAATAAATGACATCCCAAAAGACATGAAAAGAATCATTTTATATGCAACAGCTGCCACAAGGTTATTGATTGCAAAAAGTTGGAAGTCAGAAGAAGTACCAACATTGAAAGATTGGCAAAATATTTTTTTTGAAATGACTGAATTAGCGAAAATGACGGCAACAATTAGAATGCAATCTAATCAAAATCTCAAACAGGAATGAAAATGTGTAGAAGAATACATGACCAAAGATGCTCCAACAAGAATTTATTGATATGTATAGACTGATTTCACTAAGTTAAATTAAGCTAAGCTAAGCAGATATATAAGATTGAATGTTTATATTAAATTATATGTTTATAATTATTAAGATACAAAATTACAATCTCAATAATAAAGTTACAAAATAATAACAAGGAAGTCACGCGCGGGTGGAGGGAAGACACAGGGCAAGAAATAAGAAATAGATAAATGTTGGTACATAATGAAATGTGAAAATGTGAATTCACGAATATAATGTATATGTATCAATATGTGTGCAATGGTGGGGAAGGCTGGCGCGGCTGCGTTTGAGCAGCAAGCCACGCCCCCGCTGAGCTTCCCTATTGGGTGCCCAACTGGGGAGGGGCGTGGCGCCAGCCCTGGAGTTGAAGCAGGGGGCAGAGCGCCCCCTGCATGACGCAGGAATCGTCTCCCGCTCTCAATCCCTTCCCTCCTGGGAGTAGGAAAGGCTGTATCAATATGTAAAGATTTCATATATGTATTACAACATTAATAATAAATAAATTATGTGCAAAAAAAAAAGGAAGTTACCTCAAACTGAGTCAGAACACAGGTCCATCTAGGTCATTATTGCTACACTGACTGGAAGCAGTTCTCCAGTGTTTCAGGCAGGAGTCTATCTTAGCCCTGCGTAGAGAAGCCAAGGATTAAACCCGGAACCTTATTCACGCAAAACAGCTGCTCTCCCACTGAGCTACAGCCCTTCGCCCATGATGCTTAATTGTGGGGAAAGCTAGTGGTGAAAAATGTGCTTGAGGTGATATCACAGCTTGGAAGGGGGATGCATTCTCCATGGCAGGAATGGGAAACTTATGTGGCCCTCATAATGTTGTTGAACTCTGTTGCAGGGGGCTGGACTTGATGACCCTTGGGGTCCCTTCCAACTCTAGAATTCTGTGATTCTGTGGGCTAGGGTTGATGGGGGTTGAAGCCCAACAGCATCTAGGGGGCCATACTCCCTGTCCAAAAAGGAGCATAGCCCTGGACTGCAGAGGTTCAGGGGCCTCAGTTCACTTCCAACATGTGCTATAGCAAGTTGCTCCTTAGGAGGTCTCTATGGTGCTGTGCAACCCGTGCAAAATGCAGACCATCCATTTCTAAATCATCTCCAATTAGGGGCTATCAGACCTCCAATAACAAAAAAAAACTTACAGGACAGTCTGCTTGATGGTCAACAAACCAGTATTGGTTGAGAGCTAGTGTGGTGTAGTGGTTAGAGCAGAAATAACTAGCAGGTGTCCTCTAGCCAGCCTGCAGCTGCCATCATCCATGACCATTGGCCATCTTGGCTGAGGTTGTTGGCAGGTGTAATCCAACACTATCTGGAGGGTACTCTGTTAGCTCCCCAGGATTAGAAATTTGGTCTGGGGTCTGGGAGAGCAGGGCTCAAATCCCCACTCAGCTATGGAGCTCATTACATCACAACCATGTAAGGTAGATTATGCTGGGAGTAATCAGTGACTGGCCCAGAGTTACCCAGTGAGCTTCATGGCCAAGTGAGCATTTGAACCCTGGTTTCCTCCAGGCCCTAGTCCAACACACTAACCATTACACCTCTGGATGGGTGATAAGCCAAGCTGCCTTTAAAATGCTGTTTGTGCCTCTGCAGCCAGGGATAGGCAGAAAACATTGTTCTTGACATTCTGTATCACTCCCTGCCTACTTATTCAAGGGACAGATTTCTCAGGAATTCTCCAGAGAGCTTATTTCCTGAACCATAGTGAGAAATCCCATTATTTATTGACAGATGAGAATAAATGCACTACCTTTAAGGTTTCTATGCTCCCCTTAGCTGGTGATCACCTGTGCTAAAACATACTTCTACACTGCTGGCACCTTTGTGAAGATCAATGATTTATAGGAAATAGATTTGACTGGCACATTTATAGAAAGTTCAACAACCACATCAATTATGCAGCCCACTTTTGCCCCTGATGCCACCCATCCATGGCATTCCAAGAAGGTTGCCCTCAAGGGAATGTAGTCTTGGAGTTTAAAACAGTTCTCCACTCTTTTATTATGGGATGGCAATATACATTTGGCTCCAAGATCGCTGGGCTCACTCAACATCTGGTTAGAGGGGCAATGTATGGTTTATCCAGAAGAAAGTAAGGGGGGTATAAGATTGTGGTCTTAGAGTGCATCAGGTAATTCATTCTCTCTCTCTCTCTCTCTTTCCCTTTCTGTCTCTCTCTCTTACATTGCAGATTCGGAAAGCAAGCCAAAGATCCATCTTTCAGGTAATTTTCACTTTGCAGTTGTTTCTTCCTCCAAAGATTTATGTCTCTGGAGTGTGTTCCTTCCACTTTCAGAAGCCCATCAGAATAGAAAGGTCTCAAGAATAGCCCCTGGTAGTGTTCAGTGGTATTAAAATACATGCTTGCAAAGCACAGTTGTCTGGAAATATGGTACTGTGCATGTGTTAAAAAGAACAGCATATACTTCTTGCAGTGGCTAGATATGGTAGGATGGCAAAACTATTAAAGTGGTGGCTGATGCTCATTGAGATTGGTAGGGCAGAGAACGGGGAGCCCAACATTAGGTGGTGTAAAAGCCAGTGACAGGAAAAGTCAGAGCCAGTGCCATGTGGAGCCAACTAATTTTAGTTTTGTCCCCATCCTCCTCCCTGCTGAATTTTACAAGGAAATCACTGAGACTAAAGCAGAGGAAGCTGAGGGGCTGTGCCACCCCCTTGACTGGTAGGTGGGGTCTGGCTATGGGCAGGCATGCCAAAATCCTAATGGCCCACTAGAACTACAGTACCCCTTTTCTAGGTCTTCAGTGGGCAACACTAAACAGAAATAGACCTGAGAAAATATGGAGAGGATTTGGAAGGAAGAGAGAGAGAGACAGACTGGATATAGCACAGAATGGAGAGACAGAGTTACCAGTCTAGTGAGATGAACCCACTGGTTCAAGTTTCATGCACCACTAAATTTAGAGAAATGCAAATCTTGAGTGACCATTGCATTTTTGACAGTGTTTTGTTTCAGGAAGTGCAGTAGGTAGGTTCACATTAGGATGCAACCTAAACTGAATCTCTCTCCTATCCATAGACTCAGGTAGGCTCACCTGGGTTCAGGTGGGACCTCTGGTGTTCATCTGAGTTTGTGGCAGGGAACCAGTGACCCTCCATTACTCATCAGCCTCAGCCACCACAGCCAACAGTCAGAGATTATGGGAGCTGTTGTTCAGAAATATCTGGAGGTACACATTTTCTTCCCCACTCCTGGGGTGATGGTGATGATTTGGGGCTGAATCTGAATAACAGGCTAGAAAGTCACAAAAGCCACCAGCCTCTTTGAATGTTTTTAGCCCTCAGTGAGAGCATATACCTAAATTGTTTTGCTTTGTCTTATCACAGCTATCAAGCAAAATTCATCCTGTGCCAACAATGTGCTTCCAATCTTAGAGTGGACAGTTCGCAGAAATGAACAGCATAGTCCAATGAAGTATTTCAATGGTTTCTTGGTGATCCCAAAAAATGGATATTACTTTGTCTACACTCAGGTCACTTTCCGATGTCCTGATGGTACATGTGAAAACATAGAGTACTGTGGGAAGAAAGGAGTGGATGTAAGAAACGTAATGCAGGTGGTTTCACTGAAGAGCCCAAGCTATCCTGCACCTCGCCCAATCATGAAAGGCGAGAGTTCCATTGACAATTATGGAAAATGGAAGAAAACCATTTATGTTGGAGGTATTTTCCAGCTATGGGAAGATGACACACTCATGGTCAATGTCAGCAATCCTGCACTGGTGGGATTTGGTGGTGAAGGAGACATAACCTACTTTGGTGCTTTCTTAATCTAACTGCCCATTTGAAACCATGGATTCTCCCACTACAGCCCAGAATTTCCACAATGCAGTGTAATAAAAGGATGCTGCCTACAAATGCTTCCAAAAATTTCCTCTGCTGACATGGCCTTGATGGGGAAGTTCTAAAGTACTGGTCTTGTTTTCTGAAGTTGAGTTGAGGGATCTGGAATCCTTCCATGTCACATAAATGCTGGTTTTGAGTGTATTCTGCCTGCTCAGCTCCCTGAGCTTTCAGTTCTTTCAGGATAGTGAATCCACAGCTTAGAACATAGGAAATTGCCAATTCTACTCTGGGCCCATTGGTCCATCTCGCTCAGTATTGTCTACACTAACTGACAGCAACTCTCTAGGGTTCCAGGAATGGGGTCCTTCCTATCCCTAACTGGAGATGCTGGGGACCAAACTTGAGACCTTCTGCATGCAAAGCAGATGCTCTACCACTTATCTAGGACCTTTCTCTGAACTTCATTTGCTCACACATAGAGTTGTGTCAGGAGTCATTTTTAAGCAATAATTTTCTGATTTGCACATACACCACCACCAAAGCAAACAAATGAAAAATAAACTTTTGGTTTGGTGTTTTACCAATGACTGGGAGAGTTCGTATGCACACTTTAGCACGTAGATAAAAATACTATCACACACACAATCATAGAATTGCAGTTGGAAGGAACCCCAAGGGGCATCTAGTCCAACCTCCTACAACGCAGGAATCCTGCCCACAGCAATCTCTGGGTGGACTCAAACCACCAATCTTTCAGTTAGCAGCCAGACACACTGACGCATTGTACACCACTGGCAAAGTTTTGGTGTGGTGTTTTATCAATGACTGAGAGTACATGTGCTCATGAATAAAAACATAGCATAAAAATAATATTGATAATAATATTGATTTCATCCAAAGACATTGTGAGACCTGAAGCACAGCACAGAGGAATAGCACAGATTTTGCTATGATTTATACTTGCTGATTTATTATTCACATATATGCCACTTCCAATGGGAAGGTCAATCTGTAAAAAAAAAAAAAAAAGAGGAAGGGGCAAAAGATCCAAGCTTTGCTCCCTTCCCATTTGGATGACACTATAGCAATACCCCTGATTCAATTGTATTTGTGATCACTATGAAGTTCAGTAGCAGGTTCACTGAAGGGACTGGACCCCGTAACAATTTGCTCATCTTTCCAATTAGAAAGTTAACTTTAGATGTATCCCAAATTAAACTAGATCTCAAGTGTCAGAGTATGCAGAGAAGGGGTAAACAAAAACTCCATAAAGGAGCAGGAAGGGAATCGTCTGCCTGGCCAGTTTGAAGCTGCTACTCCCAAGATTATATTATCTGAAGCAGTTTCTTTGTGCACATATGTTCCTGTGCTTTTCACCCTGCTTGAAATTTCCCAAGCTCAAATAATGGTGCTATTGGCTTGAAACATGCCCCTTTCCCACATTCTGCTCTGGGACAAACAGAACACCCCCTCTGTATCTTTTAACTCAGTGCAGCTTCTGAAGCCTTACCTGCCCCTTGAAATGGAATGGAAACCATTTCAGAACCTGTGGAGCTTTCAACGTTTGTCTCCATCATTGCATTGTACTATGTTGACCCCTCGCCCTTTTTTTCTTCTTTGTTCTTAGAGGGTGGGAAATGAAATGAAATAAACAATGCATGGAGATATACCTAGTTATGGGCTCTGTTTGCATGACTACAAGGAATTATGAGGAATCCAGCCTTGTAACTGGAACAGTTGTGTATCAGCAAGAAACTACAGGGCTATGTGCACATTGCTGTGAATCTTTCAGTGGAGAACCGTGGGACAAGGGAGAGAACTACAGGTCATAGCTACACTCTGAGCCTATATTAGACTGGTTCTAATTAACCATCATGGCATTCACTTACTCCACCCCAAAGATTTGAGATGTGCAGCATGGAAATTCGGTTTTGACCTATACTATATTATACCTGCTCGCAGTGGCGTAGCGTGGGTTGTCAGCACCCGGGGCAAGGCAAGTAATTTGCGCCCCCTAACCGGTGGATTTGCGCCCCCTAACCCTAACCCCCAGATGTTGCGGCCGGTGCGGCCGGCCCCCCCTGCACCCCCACGCTACGCCACTGCCTGCTCGTATACATGCATCACTGCATGCAAAATGTGCCATTCCTTAGCTATTATTAGAATCAGAATGTATGCACAGCCTTTCATTCCAGTGAGAAATGCCAATGCCAAGGCACAAACAAATAGCAAAATAGCAAGAACAAAGCCAATCATAAAAATACTGAGTAGTGCCAGGTTAATCCACACTGCAAATTTCTGAGTAGTTTTATACCACTTGTACATTTCCTAGATGGAATCCTGGGATTTTGTTAAACATTCTCCCCAAAGAATTAACTGTGAAAGATTAGTAATCTGTGGCACCCGCTCTGCTCAGACTAAAATTGTGGGGTTGTCCCAGTGGAGAGGGAGTGACCCCTTAAATCAGCTCAGATCTGTGGTGTGGATGTATCTCTAGGTACTGTACTTAAATGACTTGGGGCACAAGACCCAAAAACAAATGTGCATAAATGTAAAACAGGCGATAAGGTGTGACTGGAGTCTTAGCAGCACTGAGTATTACAGCATGCCCATCTGTCTGGAAAGCAAAGTATTGGAGGTGAGGATGAAAAGATCTGGGGCCTAGCACAATACCCTCAGGGCTTAAGGCTCCCTAAACCACCCCTTAACAATATCCTTGTAAATTAATATGCCCCAAGAATATACCTCACTCTCTGTTGCACTCTGACACCCTCTTGCAAATTAGTCCTTGGTTCGAGAACAGAGTTGTGAGAATGCAAAAAGGAAAAAAAAAGGGGGGGGAGTTCCTATTCTCCAGCATAAAATGACAGCATATATGGAAACTTCTTTGATGGATTGGGAGAACAAGTTTCTAGACATTATTAAGTCCAGGATAGCATGTGGGTATGTGAGCAATGCCTTCAGATTATTCAAAAGCCATAAGGATAATAGTTAGGAGTGGGACTCAGTATACTGCATAGTTAACCGGGAGAACCCAGAAAAAAGAGCATCTATGCAACTGGTTCATTCAGTTTGGGGAAGGGAATGACTTTGTTTCTCTCCTTTTTCTTAATTTCCCTTTGAAACACTGGTTTTTAAGGTCTTTCAGGTTTGCTTCATGTACGAGGAAACAAACTAATGTAACTTCTGTTGACATAAATTCCCCACATTGTTTTCTTGTTTCTGGAATACATGTTAGATGCTATTGTGTATTAAATATTTAAATAGATGATTTTTTAAAAATGAGTTCTGTCATGGTGGTGTTTTTATTCAGTTTCCTCTATTACTCAAAATAAACGTCTGAGGTCGACCCCAGAGATATTGAAGCAGCTGTTTAATTCTTACACAGCAAAAAAACCCCGCCATCAGCATAGATAAATCTTGGTTATTAGCAAACCAATTTGATATACAGGTACTGAGGGAAGATTGGAATAAAGAATTAGAAATCTCAATTTCGTTCACACAATGGGAAACTGTTTTAACTGCTATAACAAGGGTGTCTCTGGACCTCAAACTGAGGCTCATATAACAAAAAATTATATTTAGAATATACTGGACCCTATTACATTTGTTTTAAAAAGGACTATCTAAGGTATCTAACTGTTGGAGATGCAATAGGGATAATGCTTCTCTAGAACATGTGTTTTTTTCATTGTCCTATACTGAAAGATTTTTGGCAGAAGGTAACTGAAACAGAACTGCACAGAACAACCTTACTGGATAATTCCAGTTTAAAAGCAATCTACTGGGATGTTTGAAGTTTTTGTTATGCAAAACTTAGCAGGAAAATTGATGGTGGTGATGATGATGATGATGATAAGTGATTTGCAATATCTGTGTGGCAGGGGGCAAGAAAACCAAGCAGGAGGGAAACCTGAGAGATCATAGCTCTCCTTTCTTTTCAATTTCCCCAGATTTTCCGCTGCAGGTTCTTACTGCTCAGAAAATTGGATTGCAGTCGGTCAGATCGGCTTTCTTAGAATTGCATCTGAGCAATGGAAACCTCTCACAAACACACCTGAAATTACAATGCCTGGGCCACCCCTCTCCTTCAGAATGGCTGAGTTTCAGAACTCTCTTTCCCTGTGAGCCATAGGCCCCCAGAGGGCTATGCATTTCATTGTCTTGGAAACTGTCCAGGAGGAGAGCTTTTTCCACTGCAAAATATTATGCAATAGAAAATTGGCACAGTCACAGCAAAGGAGATGTGTGTGGGGATTCCCTGCCTCCCTTTTTCATGGATGTAGCCAGTATTTTTGTTAGGGAAGAAGACCTTTTGTTGGGCGGCGGGGGGGGGGGGCAGAACCTCAGTTACCTATGTATTTTTATTTATTTTTATTAATATGGGGGTGGCAGCTGCCCCCACTGCCCCTCCAGCTGCGCCCATACTCTCTATACACTTTGGTTATTGAATCACCTGAAAAACCCCATGGAATGTCAGAGGGAAGGAAATAAGATATTAGTTCATACCAGCACTCCTACGCTTAACAGAAGACTAGGGGTATTATTATTATTATTATTACTATCACTATTATACCACATACAAACTTCAGTTAATTCATAATGTGTTACATTTATTTCTTTATTTGAAAGCATTTCTAAACTTCTTAATATTTTAAACTATCCAAAGAATATATATCAGTACTACAAAGAAACAACTAAACAACATGATAAAAATAGAGTAAAAAATCAAAAGCACTGGTAAAAGAGTATTACAAGAACAAATTTAGAACACATTCAGTGATGGTTGGCACTCATTGGACAGAATGCAGGGAACCCAACAGTAGGTGGCGCTAGAGTCAACAGAGTCTACTAATTCTACTTTTTTCCATGTCCTCCCTGATGATGATGATGCTCTCCTTTGATGCTTTCAAGCTCTCTAGAGTCTCAGGAAGGGGTGTTTCACAGCCCGACCTGGAGAGTGGGGTCTGAACTATGATATTTTGCATACCAAGCATGTACTTCATCCACTTAAAAATAAAGTACCTTTCTAGTTCTCAATGTTCTGAATGAAGGGTTGAATTAAACAGGAACATCAGATGCTATCAGACACTTGGTCAGTCTAGCTCAGAATCCTTCTCCCTGATGAGTTCTACAAGAGCAACACTGAGACTGAGAAGTTGAGAAGCAGGGCCACCCCCGGGCCAGTTGTAAGTAAGAAGGCAGGCAGGCAGGCAGGCAGGCGGTGGAGGGGGTTGAGGCTAGAGTGCCCCATTTTCTCTAGTGGACCTGTCTCCACTCCAAATATTAAATAATAGGGCCCTCAGTCTCATGGATCAGGGAAAGCCTGGGGAGGCGCTTTTACAAGGTGCCTGAAGGAACTTAATAGATGGTGATTCATGCATAGCAGAGGAAAGTTCATTCCCAGTGCAAAGCTCTAGTTTCTTGTCAAAGCTCTAGTTTCAGTGTGGAACAGAGAGGTGGAAAGAGCCATCTCCTGAGCACCCTGTCCAGTCTTGGGGAATCCAATAGACTTGTTGGTTTACTAAGGAATTCTGGGCAAATCAAGCTAGATGACAGTCAGAGGCTAGAAGGTATGAGCCTCGGCACAAATCTGACTGAATAGAGATATGAGTCCAACCACATGGCAGCGGCAGCAGCAAAGAGGGCATATCTCTTGGCCTCTACTGCATTCTCAGTGAATTTCCCAGCAGAGCTGCTTAGAGTGGCACACCAGTTGGTCCAAACCAGTCTGGCGTTATTAAAAATGGATCACCCAATAACCTCTTGTGAGAGATTTGCATTTCGCTTTGACAGAACTATTATCTATATTCATGTCAAACCTGATGCTGCAATTGGTTCAAAGCTTGCTTGAGTGTCCCTGGAGCACCACCAGATTACAGTTTGTGGGATTTCTTTCAGTTGTTGCAGTCAAGGTTGTGGACAAGACACTTCGAGCAGCAAAGTCAGCTATGTGTCCTGTCAATTCCTGCCCTTCATTGTGGATGGTAAAGTCTAGTAGGGGGGAATTGAATACATGGGTCCTTATC